CAAAAGATTAATGAGAAGAATAAAAGTGATAAAGACAATATTTAAACAAATCAAATAAACCATTTTTCACAATTTTGACTATTTTCGATTTCGAAGTACTATTTAAACAAAATCATTTTAATAAATCAAAATTCTTCATTTCAAAACAAGAAATAATCTTTTTCTTTATATAAATTAAATTCTTTCGCGATGAAGAATGCATATACATATGGATGTCGTGCCGAAGTTAATGCGACTGATATAAAAAAACGTTTACATATCATATTTTCTAAATTTTACGATCAAAATATTCAGACTTTAAAAAAAAAAAATTTAAAGAAATGTATAGCCCTTAAAAATATCGACCAAGCTCGTACGTATTATTCAAAGGTTGCTGCAAAGCCTGAAAGTGATCCACTAGTTCACAATGATGCGATCATTTGCTGTTGGAAATAAGAAAATCAGAGTTCATCAAAACTAGATTTTTTGAATATTTAAAATAAAATTTGAATATTTTGATCGAAAAAATTTAGGAAATATGATATAAAAACCTATTTGATGATTTTTAGCAACAGAAACATTTTTTATATCAGTCACAGCAGCTTCGGCACGACATATACATATCTCAAGAGTCTAATCGATATTGTGAATATATATTGTCATGATTAACCCTTTACTGGCGTGCGGATGGTATATATACTACCTCGATTATTCTGTCGAATCAATCAAAAGTGAGTAGAAATGTTCTGTAGAATACTGTTCTTTATTGATAAAACAATCATATTGGCACTTCAAAGTATTAGAAAAATTTGAACATAATATATTTACTCAAATTAATAGTGTATGCCGGAAACTTCATTCATCTGATATTATTTTTTATCGGAGATATTCTTTATCCATTTCAATGCGTTTACCTTGATGTTTAACTTTTTCCTTTGTATACAGATGCATATATGAACACTCCTCCACATATTCTTCACACAGTTGCTACTATCATTTTTCCTCCTTTGCTTAAACAAACATCTGTTTTTAATGTTGTAACGAACTTGAACCTTTCAAAAAATCTCGCCAACGAAGAGTTAAATAGACGAACAAATAGTTTGGATTGAATTAGTTAATGAATTTAACGATAAAAACAATCAATCGAAGAAAAGTCGATCGACCGTTATTACTTATTCTTCTGTTTACATTACCATTTACTGTATCAAAATTATATTCAACGTTTACAAGAAATATATTGAAAACAATATTACAAAATGTGATTGAAAGTTTTATTTTTAATATATCGCTTCTCATCTCAAATATTGTAGTGGGAATGCCACTTTATATTTACACATTAATTGGTGTAAAAAGAAAAATATTTCGAAAAGCCTTAATAGGCTTATTTCATAAATAATGCATATTCTTTTTTCATTAGAATTGTATAGTTCAGATATATGAGTATTCCAAAAACAAGAACAATGTAATAAATGTGCAATAATATGTGTTGTTTGTTTATAAAAAAGAAAATGATTTGAATTTTTAATTTCATTTTTATCATGTCTTAGATCAAAATAATATCATTAATGCTGTTCATAATTGGTTTATCTCATTAGGAAATAATTCATAAAAATAGAATGGAAGCTATAAAAATGAAAATCAATTAAAAATTTTTAATTCTTTTATCTAAATGGCATCTTCGGGGTAGGTGCGATGGGTTTCACTGTCTGCTTCCATGTATGTGCATAGAGAAGAAAGTTTGTTTGATTGTTTGCTATGTGTTTAGTGCCTGTAGTAGCTATCGTCACCAAAAATCCATATATTTTCTCTTTCTGTACCGATTCTGTAATTCTTGAGGCTATGTATGGGTACTAAAAGAGTGGATTTTAGAATGGTTGAATAACTGAATAACTGAATTCAACTTTCGAGTTTGACACTACTGCGAGAAAGATAATATTAAGTTTCACAGTGATTGCGAAAGATCAAATTTCATCTGAATTATATATATATATTCATCTGTTGTTTTATTTTCACCCGTTTATTACCTTGTGTTATAAAGTGCTTTTATCAATACAGAACAAAGTTTATTTCAGCTAGAAAAAATACAGATCATTTGTTATGTTCTCTATAAGATTAACTATAGTTCAAATAGAACGACAAAGTAATAAAATATTATTGAGTGCATTAGATTGCATGCACTTAATTTCAAAGTTTCGTTGTACATTTGTAAGAGAGAGAGAGAGAGATTATAATAAAAGTTAAAACAGAGTAATAAATAATAAATCTTGAATCTGCTTCAATTGAGTATATAAACTGTTGTTGATGATGAAAAACATCGTTGATTTTGTATTCTATAATTCGAAACATGAAAATCTTTTTCTTTTCTACTCTGATCATCGTAATTTCGTTTACAAATGGCAAATTCGTTTCCGATGAAAATCTTCGAACAGAAATAATTATGAAAAATATAGACGCATGTATAAAATGGGACAAGAATGAACCAAATCCGGAACCTCTTTTGCAGAAAATACGTGATTGTCCTTGTATTATTCCAACTAGTTTTCCAAAAGAAATTTATGATGGAGCAGAAACTTGGAAAACAGATGCCGGCTGTATGGCAAGTAAACAACCAAAAACATGCGAATATCATAAAGGTGCATATGGATGCTATCGCCATGCGTTTAAAAGTTCAGGACCTGGTGCTCAGTGTTGTTATGATAAAGCTGGTAATTGGATGAGTGATCCATTTCAAGGTGCTGGAACATTAGATCGTGAACGTGCACCAGACTCTATATTAAGCTTGATTCAATTGAAAAAACACAATGATCACGATGTTATACCATGGAATAATTGTTGTAAAAATACGGGTATGGCAGTAGATTATTGTCGACTTTATTTTAATAAACGACCACCTGGTAAATGTCAAAATTATATTCTTTGATTAATTCAACTCAATCAACAAAGACATATTAACCAATAAAAGAACATTCTTTCTTATTTTAAATCGAGATGAACAAATAATATTCTTTTTCAAAAGAAGTCAATAAATCAAAGTTGTTCATATAAATTTTTAAGAATTCATCATGACAATTTGAGCTAAAAAATATAAATATATAATACTTTCTCGAGGATAGATATGAACAACAGGGGTGTCCATTGCGGCTGAACGTCAGTCTCTGCAGCGGTGATCAGTTTCAAAAAGCTCTATTTTTGAAGTTTATGACTGGTTAAAGCTGAAGCTACTGCCTCAAAACGACTCAAGTCACTGGCCGTGACTTCTGCCGTTCAACATTCTTTTAAATGAAGGTTTTGCGTAAATCTGCTGGTTCTTCTGGTTTTATTTTTCAGACAACTAACGCCGCGATCCGCAACAATAAATTGCTACGGTGGACGAATCTGGTATAAATACAGATGTTTTGATGTAGAACCTATCGAATAAGATAAGATATAGTAATTAGCAAAGAATATATGCACGAAAAACTTTCAAAATGTAAAATTTGATTACATTTTTTGCTCTTAATAAACAATTGAAGTTTTAGATGTTATCAACATTGTTAGATCTTCGAATTCTTAACATAAAACCTTTTTTCTTTTTATAAATAGATTATTCTCAATTAAGACTCGTAAATTTTGATCTATAGAACTTTCTTCAAAATATTTTGGATCTTCACTATCGATAAAACAACGTAGCCCAGGTCGAAGAATCCGGCCCGGAACTGACTAGTTCCAGGACCTTCCGGGGGTTTCATGGAAGCAGCATTCCGGCTACCGAATCCTTTCATCGCATTTAAAAGGTTTTATCGGGAACCAGCAAGAACCCGCCATAACCATTAGTCAGATACGGTTACCGGTTCCTTCAGTGGGATTCCGAGTATTTTCTCGTGGTTTCCAGCGCGGATACTATAAATATCCTGCGGGTTTTCACGGGAAATGAGCGGAATACTGCTTCCAG